AAAATAACATAATTTACTTTATTATAAAATTTAATGTAAAGTTTTAATTGAATCAAATTAAGTTTTAAAATTAGATTTTATTTGAAAATAATTGGTTTTTTTTTAAATTGATTTTAAGATAAAAAAAACAGTTCTCCCCTTTGATTTTTTCCTTCATACGTGTATCCCCTCCCCTTCTTCTCCTCCCTCTTTTTCTCTCTTCTCTTCCTCCTTTTTCTTTTTTATCGTTAGTTTTAGGTGTATTTAAGGAGTGCTGCAGTGGGGAGGAAAGACAGACAGAACCCATACAGAGAAGAATTCACTTCCTTCTTTCTCTCTACCATCACCTTCTCTTCCTCTTCACCCAGGCCGGCAACCCCGACGATACACAGACTACACACGTCCCCCAGTGATCACAAGTTCAGACCAACCTGCACCACAGTAGTCCAGCGCAAAGTTCTACAACCGATGCACGGATCACCGACCGCCTGAATCCGACCTCGAGTGCTCCTTCACGGTTTTAGACCCGCGGGCACACCCAGAATCTCCTCACTGCAGTACGTGGTATAGAAAATGGTTGTTTTAGAAATGATTTGATTTTTTTTTATTTATTTTAAATAAGCTTGTTTTAAATTTGATATATATATATTTTAAAATAAATTTGTTTAAATATGATTTGGTATATTTTAAAATAGATTTGTTTAAATATGATTTGATTATTTTTTAAAATAAGAAATATGATTTGATTATTTTTAAAATAAGAGATATGATTTGATTATTTTTAAAATAAATTTGTTTTAAATATGATTTGATTATTGTTAAAATAAGTTTGTTTTAAATATATATTTTTTTTAAATTTTAAAAACAAGATTGTTTTAAATGTTTTTTTTTTTGTTTTAAGGAAGTTTGTTAGAGGAATTTCAAATCTAAAATAAAATAAATTTATTTTATTTTATTATTATTATTATTTCTCGTTTTAGTTTTATTTTTTTTTTAACATTTTTTTTAAATAAAGCTTTGTATGATAAGAATTAATATTAAGTTATATCATATGGTGTTGGCATAGTGGTAGGTTACTTAGGAGTAATTCACACGTCTTAGGTTCGAGTCTTTGCTTGAATTGTGTTGGGCTCCAATCGTTTTTTTTTATCATTATTTTACCAAACAACTATTTTAGATAAAATGTTTTTTTTTAATTTAAAAAAAAAACTTTCATTTTTATAAGATTTCAAATCTTAAAACATTTATATAAAATATTAAGTAATATCTTAGAATGTTGGCACATTGGTAAGAAATTTGTATATGGACTCTCACATCACAAGTTCAAGTCTTGATGGCCCCTACGCTAAAATTATTTTTATTTATTAATTTTTCTTTTCTACTAAATAATTATTTCGAAAATCCCATTTGTTTTTCTAATGGTCTTTGCGCCACTTGATAAAATATGAATCAATAAATTTGGGACATTTAAAAATCAAACACAAAAATATTTTTCTTTTTGGACCAAAGTATAATAGGATAATTGTTGACAAATATGGTACCGTTTTCGAACGGGTGTCGTAGGGTGCTAACACCTTCCCTACACTCAGTCGACTCCCGAACCAAAATCTGTTTTTCGTAGACCAAGTTTTTAAAATAGGTTACCAATCACACCTCGTATATGATTGGTGGCGACTCCAAACCCGAATCTCAAAAGAGACCCGTCAGGGGATGACGTCGGCCGCTCCACGTCGCGATGACGTTGCGACAGCTTGGCGACTCCACTGGGGACCTTTAGATAGTCAAGCCAATATTTTTGTCATTTATTATCTTATTATATATTTTTTTTCCTTTCTTGTTCGCTTTGTTTTTTATTTTATTTATTAATTTGGTTTGGCATCATATGCATCTCGCACAAATACACGAGCCTCCTACCCGGGCTTTACCTTTAAGATTAGATCGGGGACTGAGTAGTGTGACCTTCGTGGAATTTCGGTTCCCGTGCAGGCACATGAAATTCTCCACTCAAGTTGACCATACCGCGCAAGCGTATGGAAGATTTGGGGGCCGCTTCCCTCTAGGTTGTGTAGGCATTAACTTTACAC